TCTAGGGAGGAATTATCACGATATCTTATCACAACAAAGTGGCTCTAGATGTTATCAGCATTTAGTGCTCACGGAATTTTTACTAGCGTTGGATCACTGGCTCTGGTTAGGAACTATAAAAAAATTAATTGACTTTCACTAACTTTTTAAATCTCGAGTAAATCTTGTAATAACTCATCTCCTAAAGAGGACCTCAGTTAGAGGTTGAATAGTTTTTTAAATCGATCTAGTGACTGTCAGCAACTAGAGGTCGACCACTTAACCCACGATAAGCCGTAGAGAACGACTGTCATTGAATAAACAGAAGAATGGATGAGGGCTCTAACCGTGGTCCGTGCGAGTAGCAGATAACTTATTACTCTTGTTTCTGTCCCCATGTGAGTTTGAACTAGTCATTGCTAAGTGTTTTTACGTGTTGAAGTTTCAGCATAAAAACTTGCAGAAAAAAATGTTGCATTGATACTGTCAGTCATTCCATCTGGAAGCAAGTTTAAGCATAATAAAATTGATTCTAAATCAAATTAAATTTCCATTGCCATTTCCATCGCAAACAGCGATGGAGAGGAGTCAGTCCCCTCTGGCAGGTCATTCATGTGTACTGGGAACAGTTACCGTCCTAGTACTGATGCTTGCGGAACCCCACCAGGTGGGTGTGGGCGGGCAGCTGGAGGTGGGACTCAGCTGGGAGAGGGACACCAGCGACCTCACCATCAAGATATGTAAGCTCACTGATCTACAGCTTCACCACTTCACTCTCCAACACGCTGGTAAGTAGGAGCTCTAATGTCATGAATGGCAGGAAGTACACTGGAGTTCGTGGGAAAGATTGGTAGCATAGGTCTTCGAAGTCTACACCGAGGTTATCTCCTAAGATGAGCTATCTACTTCTCTCTAGATTAATAAATATCGTGTAGCATCCAGGTGTGTGAGTCAGTGTGATATAAAAACAAGGATATAACGAAGACACTAGTGCTGGTATATTTTTTTTTACTTACATAAAGCGCTGAACTTAGTGGATCATTCAGGGAAAGCTGGGATGGAGGTTCGATCCTCCATACACAAAATGCGTTAGAAATAAGTTTTTTCAGTGATGTTGAGATGACAACTGAGACTAATAAGTGTAGTTGAGCAGTAATGAATCCTCGGTATCAGCTATCTTAATGACCCTCTTGTAGTCTATAGGCTTTAAACTCACTCCGTATCAGTAATTCTAATCACCTTAATCGCCAGTTTATGGCAGTATTGTCTTGTTTATACAGACCAGCTGCGTTCCTAATAAGCGAAAGTCTTTAGAGTGCTGAGAAGTGTTAATGCGACTGTGGTGTGTGCCCACAGCACAGGTGTACGTGAAGGTGACTGTGTACATTAATAACACCATCCTATGCTGGAGGAGGACCACCCCGCGGGACCTGGAGGGGCAGGTGACCGAGTTCGACGAGGACCTGGGTCTCCACATGCCCGAGCTCGACCTGGACGCCACACACCTCGTCCTCAGTGCCAGGCTCCGCACTAAACCAGGTCCGTCAACGTGTAAGACTAGTAGCATTTTCCTCCATAGAGTTCCATCTTTACACACTAAGAATTGTTATTCTACCTCGGTTCATTTCAAAGCCTGGCCATTGCTATGATATGGAAACCCTTCCCACGATGCGACCCATACCGGTTGGCTTATGCCTTAGTAACTGTTTATTGTAAGGAGTAGTGGGGATCGAACTGACCTCTTTGCAATTACAAGTCCAGAGTTATACAAATTCTGCCACAGAGTTGACAAAACATAGCTATATGGGCAGCTTCAGCTGATACTTAACCAACACCACACAGGCCTTGTTGCTATGCCATCAGATCAGTTGTCCATCAATGCTGTCGGTTTTTCCCTCTGTCATGCACACAAGTGGCATGTTATAGTGAATACTTTACTGGTCAGAGAAGAGCAGGTGAGTGTCTCACTCTCGCCGGATGAGGCTCCTCTCTGGTTTGGCAAATAACATCAACATGTACAGTTCAGAGAGAAACAGTTTACAAGGCAGGTCTGTATGCTGACTTAATGAGACTGCACAGCGAAACATCGTCAAAATGAAGACTCTAAGAGAAAAGTTTATTCTTTGAGTTCTTGTGAGAATTCTGTTTGAGACGGTCCCAGGGCCTCTCACTTTCATTGTTTTCCCTCAAATAGTTTGCGTATAATAACGAGAGATGATTCTAGTGGTATTATCAAACTACCAATATTGTGTTATGTACAGTATTCTCTGTAAAGTATAGCGATCACGACTCACAACGACCCTCCTTCCCGTGCAGGATGTGGTCGTCGAGTGATGGGGTCGTGCCTAGTAGGGTGCGGTGGCTGCGTCAGTGAGGAGGGTCGTCATCACTGGCACGACATGTTAAGGGCCTTCCCCACCCTCGTGGTCAGGTCACACCCACTCGCCGCCCACTCCCACCTCCACAACGTTTTCCCCAGGGACCAAGACTGGTCGGAGACCTTCCTTACCTCCTCGACAGCGAAGCAGGAGGCTGCCAGGGACCAGAGGGACGCCACTCGTCCCGTCCACTATTACCAGGATTTAGAGAGTTACCTACCCCTGGCCAGCCATACCAGCAGCTACACTACCACCGACAACAGCACTCCTACAAGTTCCTCTACCGAGTGTACCTCCCTCACTAACTTGTCTACCGAGCACAGCACACCCACCAGTCCATCTGCCGCTCGCATAACCCCTACCAGTCCCTTCCTCGACACGAAGTCAAGCGATCATTCTCAGCCTGAGGAGGAGAGCATCTGGATCACAGTAATGTCATCGGTGGAACAGCAGCCTAGGCATCAGGACCAGCTGCTCCCGCCAGCAACACAAGACCCATTGTTGACACAATTGCAGGAATGTAGACAGGACGACCTATTGCTGCCGCAGCAACAGGAGTCTGGGCACGAAGACCCGTTGCTTTCACCTTTGCAGAAGTCTACACAAGAAGACTTACTGCTGCCACCCTCACAGGAGTGTGGTCACAAGGACCTACCTATACCGCCTCTGCCACAGGACTCTGGACTCCAAGACCCATTACTGCAACCGTCGCAGGTCTCTGGACAAAAGGACCCACTGCTGCCACCGCCTTCAGAGTCAGAACACGAAGACCCACTCATGCAGGACTCGCATTATCAGCCAGAGGTGCTCATCACTAAAAACAATGTTTAAACCAAGCCTTGTCATATTTACCCCCTGCTAACTTTTTTCTCACGAATCTCTGGCATCAGACCACGTATTAATCAACCTGGCTTTCAGTCCTCTCTTCAAACCGACAGTTCACGCTTCAGCTCACTGCAAATCACACAGTAATATTAAGCTTCACAAACTAAGGATGGTTAACTTAATTATATCATCACAAAGGTGGCTAAGAATATTTCCATTGCTTTATCTAACTACTACCAGCAGGACAACCATTAGAGACTTAATTACTTAATTAGCAAGAAACCCGCAGGTCTAGTTGAAACCAGAGCTGGGGTTTGTCGTGCCATGAAGAGGATGCGAGAAAATATATTTGTGAGAGACAGGTAGAGACCTTCACCATCAGTGAACATCAGTGTGCTTTACTGACAGTGTTTGAACAAAAGGTTTAGAAAAGATAATGAATAAGGCACTTGTGAAACACTTGGGAATCTTTATTCTGGAAGCTTTTTGCCAGCCAGTGGCTTCTTCAGTCCATTGCAGAGAAATAGTGGAAGATGAGAAGTTTGAGGTACTCAGTCCCTCAGCTTGGAGTCAATATATTGTATTCAGTCCATCAGTCTTGGTAAGTGCAGCATTTTCGTGGAGATGGGGCTTATATGTTGCAGACAGATGAGATGGAGCAGTGGTAGGCGGAGTCACCAGTGGAAAAAAAATAGCCTCAATCACTTAATGAAATGGAGTGACATAAACTTATCGTTAAGGAAGAGAGTTTGTAGACGTCGCTGCCTAGAATCAGTTACACAGAACACTGAGCTTCAACATATTCAGAGTTTTAGATAATGGTGAAATTTGCTTAGTGATACCAACAAGTTACAGGTAAAATACACATATGTATTTATCTAGACATTAAGAAAGGAAACGTTTCGCCATTAGTGGCCTCTTCAGTTAAATTAAGACTGAAGAAAGACACCTATGGGGAAACGTTTCCTGATCAGCGCACACTTGTCTTTTATCTACAGTTTTATATATCATCACATATCATCATATTGATGTCAAGCCGTCAGATCAGTCATCAGTGGACATCCCTACAAATTTGGAGCACTGCATCTGACATCTTCATTTCTTTATATAATAATAATATATAGAGAGGAGCTGGATGAGATTTTCGCATGATAATCAGTGACAAACACACGTAACAATATGTACTAGACGTGTATCTCTCACACGTCATGTACTGTATATGCCATATTTATATCAACAATGTATCTCTTAAATCTTTTGTACCGTATTATATATATATATAATATATAATATATATATATATATATATATATATATATATATATATATATATATATATATATATATATATATATATATATATATCACACCACGCAGAAACAGGCAGGTATGTACAAAGGAAGATCTCAGTCAGCAGGATTCGAAGTCACGTCAAGCCGGCTTGCGAGGCTCCGTAGTGACGCCCTAGACCACTCAGCCACAGATGCCTCAAAAACTGGCAGCCTTGTTTACTAGCTATATTTCATTGCCAACCTGAGCACAGTACTGGGCCTTAAGTCATGGTTGCAAGCTATTTCATTCTCGACCTGTATGTTCTGACCTCAATATGGCGATTTTTATGTCAATACATCATGCGAAGTAGGCAGGTGAGGTCAGAACATGCAGGAGGAGAATGAAATAGCTGGAAAGAAACATGGCTTGTAAACCAGGCTGCCCAGCTTTTGAGGCATCTGTGGCCGAGTGGTCTAGGGCGTCACTTGGGGAACCTTGCCAACCTTCTTAATGTGGCTTCGAATCCTGCTGACTGCGATCTTTCTCTGTATATTATTGGTCTGATAAAGCCTCTGGCGGGCGAAACGTTTCTTTAATAAAGTTATTTAACATTCCACACGACTCTCTCTTTTGCACAAGGCCTACTGGCCTATGGTTGGCAGCTCCTACTCACACCCAGCCATGTATCTGTCCAACCTGTATTGTTAAAGGTACTAAAAAGTACTCTCTCTAGTGACACTACCTGGCACTTTGTTCCACTCATCTATCACTCAACCTGGCACTTTGTTCCACTCATCTATCACTCAACCTGGCACTTTGTTCCACTCATCTATCACTCAACCTGGCACTTTGTTCCACTCATCTATCACTCAACCTGGCACTTTGTTCCACTCATCTGTCACTCAACCTGGCACTTTGTTCCACTCATCTATCACTCAACCTGGCACTTTGTTCCACTCATCTATCACTCAACCTGGCACTTTGTTCCACTCATCTATCACTCAACCTTGGCACTTTGTTCCACTCATCTATCACTCAACCTGCACTTTGTCCACTCATCTATCACTCAACCTGGCACTTTGTTCCACTCATCTATCACTCAACCTGGCACTTGTTCCACTCATCTATCACTCAACCTGGCACTTTGTTCCACTCATCTACCACTCAACCTGGCACTTTGTCTCACTCATCTACCACTCAACCTGACACTTTGTTCCACTCAACCTGACACTGTTCCACTCATCTACCACTCAACTTGGCACTTCGTTTCACTCATCTACCACTCAACCTAACACTTTGTTTCACTCATCTACCACTCAACCTGGCACTTTGTTCCACTCATCTATCACTCAACCTGGCACTTTGTTCCACTCATCTATCACTCAACCTGGCACTTTGTTCCACTCATCTATCACTCAACCTTGCACTTTGTTCCACTCATCTACCACTCAACCTGGCACTTTGTCTCACTCATCTACCACTCAACCTGACACTTTGTTCCACTCATCTACCACTCAACCTAACACTTTGTTTCACTCATCTACCACTCAACCTGGCACTTTGTTCCACTCATCTACCACTCAACCTAACACTTTGTTCCACTCATCTACACTACCTACACCACTCTACCACCAACCTAACACTTTGTTCCACTCATCTACCACTCAACCTAACACTTTGTTTCACTCTACCACTCAACCTAACACTTTGTTCCACTCATCTACCACTCAACCTAACACTTTGTTTCACTCATCTACCACTCAACCTAACACTTTGTTTCACTCATCTACCACTCAACCTGACACTTTGTTTCACTCATCTACCACTCAACCTAACACTTTGTTTCACTCTACCACTCAACCTGACACTTTGTTTCACTCTACCACTCAACCTAACACTTTGTTTCACTCATCTACCACTCAACCTAACACTTTGTTTCACTCTACCACTCAACCTAACACTTTGTTTCACTCTACCACTCAACCTGACACTTTGTTTCACTCTACCACATCAACCTAACACTTTTTCACTTCATCTACCACTCAACCTAAACACTTTGTTTACTCTACCACTCAACCTAACACTTGTTTCACTCATCTACCACTCAACCTACACTTTGTTTCACTCACACTCAACCTAACACTTTGTTTCACTCTACCACTCAACCTGACACTTTGTTTCACTCATCTACCACTCGGTTACTTTTTTGCACCTTTTCCAAACCTATATTGTTTACTCTTGAATAAACCATTAATACGAGTCTTGTCTGGAAATATCTTCATCACATTATTTATAAACTCTTATTTGATTATCACTTAGGTTACTTTATAGCAGTAATTACTGTTAGTTTGATAAATCCTGCTATAGTACATGTACTCAACTTGAGTACGAATATACATAATTATCGTCATGTATGTGATTTAAATTCGAGTTCATGACTAGGCACTAAATTGTAGCGTGATACTGAGTGACTAATAAAAGTAATGACACGATTGCAAACGAACCATAACACGGGTGGGGTTTGAACGCGCGGTCAGAGACCGCGGGTTCAAACCCCACCCGTGTTATGATTTGACTAATAAGAGATTAAAAAAAGAAAACAATATTATCTAGACAGAGACGAAGGCATCTTGTATGATATATCTTAGTATGTGGCATAACAGGTTTAAAATCTATCGATTATGCGATGGTCATTAAGGCTGCATTCCATTTGTATACTACCAGTCAAGTAGACTTCATTATTCAATACAAGGAAGCCTAACATATCAGCAGAAGCAACCATGGAAGGTGTGCTGGTACGTAATATAAACAACACAATTAGAGCAACTATCAGCTCTGTACACTAACCTATCCTTATAGAGATCCTCGGCTTGCTTTAATGTCCTCCCAGATCATTAAAGATGTCAAGGGTGTAACCCACACCAAGCGGCACTCTGATTTATTGCCCGATAAAGATTATTATCAGTGTCGTGATTTAAAATAGCAGGAGACTGAGTGAGGGAATAGAGGAGAGAGGAAGTTATAGAAGATGGATATAAGAACGTATTGCTGTCCTCTCCTCCAGACGGTCATCCCTCACGCAACACAACATAATACAGCAGCGTCGAAGCGTTAAGCAGTGTCCAGCTTCCCAGAAGGCAGCAAGGACTGGTTGCTCTCCTGGCCCACTCTGGTCACTGGTTGACCTTAGGCATGATACCAAGCAGCAGCATCAGGAAGGTCAGAGGTAATACTGAGTCAAGGTACTAGCAGGTGCCCACAGAGCATGACCTCACATACAGTATGACCTCAAATATAGCAAGTTCTTTTGTGAACGACTGTTGTATATTCGCTCACACGATGAGTGCTGTCAACTCACCCCTCAGGTAGGCAGGTATATTCACTCACAGGATGAGTGACACTATCCAGTCAACTCGCCATCGGAGCAAAGTTTATAATGTAACGTCCGTACACACAGTGGGACTGGATAGTGTGGAAAATTGCATTTACTTGGATGTATAATTATATACATAAGAGTAAATGAACAATGATAACTATTATTAATCAGTTAGACAAGTAGGAATTTGGGACACTTAGGTCACAAAAAATGTCCCCCTTCGATACCTACCACTGTCATATCCACAAGTTGCTCTGGACCTATTAATTAAATGAAATATACATACACCAGGAATGCTGGTAAATATATAAATTTGTGGACTGTATATTAAAAATAATAAATGGTTATATATATACACAATTATACAACAGAAGGAAAATATATCTTAATATCACTCACCAATTTGACTGGAGATTAATGCGTATAATACTCAGAAAACCTCACTCTAACTAAATCTATGAAAATAATGCTGGCCAGAATTACACACAAATCTAGAGCTTATGAGGTTCCTGGAGCTGTCTTGTCCAGTCGCCTGATATCTCAAGTTATGCAGGAATGCACATCCACCAATTTCGCCTCCTATTTGAGAGGTGTCAGCCCAATTTTAACCTCTAGAGCACGAAAAATTCTTCCCATTCACTCTAACGTTCTGTTCAATTAAAAACCAAGATGGCGAGTTTCCTGTCTGCGCAGGCGCAGGCTTTACGTTTTCTATGACATAAATATTATTAAATACAGTATGGCTATCTATTTACATATAAATACTGAATTTCTGGAAAATGTATACAGTATTTTCCACAGATAGCATATCCTTGGGGGTGTCCACTCGTTACCCTTTTCCAACCTTTACCTCATACCTGTGAATGCTGAATGTGATTTTATATCTGCTTGAGCACATTCCCTGTTACCCCTGCTTTCTCCTATTTTGTGTTAGTTACCAGTTGTCACAGGCATTTGTCGATAGACACTTGGCCCATTTTGTGTGTGTGTTTCACCGACTTGCGTTTTAAAGGAGCCGATACCTTGCTCCTGACCTCGACTCCTTGCTGCTTAATCAGGCAGCTATAGAATATCTAAAGCCTTGGCCAAACGATTTCTAAACACAACATTCACACAGCCAGTGGATGACACCACTGCGCTGCTAGGCTTACCCACCTACTCTAATCTACATTTCTCTTAAGTTTTTGAGATTGCCCAGGATATGCATAGGTGTGTGTATGTGTGTACTGACCTGCATGTGGTTAAAAAACATAAGAACATAAGAATGGAGGAACACTGCAGAAGGCCTACTGGCCCATGCGAGGCAGGTCCTTATCAAAACGACTACTACCTAAAGCTTCCCTAGAAATAACTCCCGTACCCCATGACACCAATCAAACCCAGCCCCTCCCACTCATATATTTGTCCAGTCTCTTCTTAAAGCTACCCAAGGTCCTAGCCTCTATCACCCCACTGGGAAGACTGTTCCACGCATCTACAACTCTGTTAGAAAACCAATACTTACCTATGTCCTTTCTAAATCTAAATTTATCCAACTTAAATCCATTATTCCTGGTTCTTACCTGGTTCGACACCCTCAGTACTTTATTAATACAGGTGTTTAATACAGGTGTTTAATCTCAGCTCCT